GGCGTTCGTACAAATGTTAGGTGTCTATGAATCAAGATAATGCGTTCAAACACTATTGGTATTTTTGAAGCAAATTTCGTAACGAAACTTGCTTCTAGTGTATGTTTCTAATTTTCGTAACAAAAATAACTTCATCAGATAGAACTATACAGTTTTCACTGAAGACATCTGTTTTAAGCACAGTTCAAGTCTCTATTCATATTTATTTTCTGGAAAGTACTGCGTTATGAAATTTTATTAGTAGTTCAATTCTGTGGTGTTTTTAGATCATTCAGAATTTCAACTTCTATTTTGGTCTGGTTGAAAAAGTTAAAAACTGTTTTGCGTTAAGTTCTAGTGAAAAATACATCATTTGATGTGAGATTTAATATTAATGATGAATATTTGGTTTATTTTAACATTTTTGCTTTCATCAAGATTTAAACAGAGATTTTCCGAAAAACGATGAATTTTCATAAAGAAAACTATTTCTAGTTTGTTATTCGATGAAGTTATGATTGTTAAGAAATAACTTGATATTCTGAAAATTTGTTGTTTTCTTTTGTACCCAAAATGCTAAACTTTCAGCTCTGCTAAAAACATCTATTTTTTCGAAATTTCATAACGGTCAGTATTTTTTTTGCATAGTTCAGTTCCACATAAAGAAAAACCATTAAAATTTTTATTGATAGTACATCTAATAGTCTATATCTATAATAAAAGTTTTAAAGAATCTACTTATGCAATCGAGGTAGAAATAGACACTACAAGGTGACAAAAAAAATTAAATTCCCTAACGCTTGATCACATCGTCATGTTTGATTAGGAGAGAAAATCTAAGAAATTCTGTTGTATTTATCTATATTTGTTTGTATTATTGTTTTTATGATTCCTTGGGATATTCCAACGAGTGATGAAGAGATACCACGTTTAACACATATTTATCGAAATCAACATTTTCTTGTTTGGCTTGCGGCAATGGATCTTGAATCGAAAGTATAAAATTTTATTTTGATGATGATAACACTGTTGATTTTCTTCTTTTGTTTTTCGAATAAAAAAAAAAAAAAGGATATTTATATTCTTCGTACTGTTGAATGGAAGAAACTTATTGAAATTTCCGTTGATCCAAAACGACAACGTGGCCGTCGATCGAAACTTATTTCAGATCCATCACCTGAACAGCCGATGATTTATGATGAAAATTTACCTATTCCAACTTGTGCTCTGTATCCACCGACTGGTAATTTCATGTATTCGGCTATTTTTTGTTAGACAAGAACAGTTTTTTGTAATAAAAAACAGCTAATTCCGCTCAAGTGTTAGTTTGGCGACCAACTTCAGGTCAACCAACGCTTGTTGTACCACCTAAATCTATTGAAATTAATACGACGAATTGTAAATAATCGCATTTACTAAAATATTTACAAGTTTACGTTATTTTTAGACGCTCATCTACCATTGGCTCGGTACTAAAATACTCTTTGGAGCGTATTTAATTTTCTTCAACTGGAGTACAAAATATATCAATGTATATTTTTCTTAAATGTTTTACACAATCAAATATATTTATTATATATGGTGCTCAAGTTAAACTTCGAATGTCTGTGCAAAGAAGTATCAAATCCAAATAAATTCAATAAATTTTCAAAATCAAAATAAAACACAAATATTTGCTAGTTCTAAAGCTAAAAACTTATGTATGACACAACAAATAGATCATAATTAGTCTCTAACCTATTCTATTATTGTAAGAATCTAACAAATATGATGAAAATAATATCAATTAGTTATTCATTTAGAAAGTTAGTGATTTTTTTAAGTTTGTTTCAAGTACTAAATGTATACACAGGAACGTGAGTAATATAAATAAGCAAAAAATAGCTTCTTAGTTTTTATTCTTTCAGTATTTTTTTAAATATTTGTGTGAGATGTTAAACAAAAAATAAGTTTAAAAAGTAATTCTTTTTACGTATAATCTATCACATAACCAGTATTTCTAGTATTTATTGGAAATAGAAATAACACTTGACTTTGGCACATGTAATTTGTTTTTATCTATAACATCATAAATCATATTTAGTAAATAAACAGTTTATTTATAAACGTTTTCATAGGAAAAAAGAAACGATAGACGATAAACAAGTGTACTTTCCATTTTGATACATGAATTTAGACCAATATATCATAGAGACTTTGATCGTAAGATTCTTGTCGATAAATAAATAGTAGTTAAAAGAATATATAGAGAAAAAAAGAACTTAGAATAATAAAATTATAGCAAAATAGCAAAGATCTAATGCATAGCTATATTATAACTTTTATTCATAATAAACGTCGTACTAAATGTAAGTGATGAATGAGATTATTACTAACTTATAGAAGGAAAAATTCGAACTATTTTATCTTCATTATGACGATTACAAGAACATGTTATTATTATTGAAATTTGTTTCTGCTCTTGTCGAATATTGAAAATAGTTAACAAACCAAAAAGAATTATAATTAAAGGTACTAAAATATTTAAAAAAATAATAACTTGACTATATATATATATATATACAATTACTATTGTAGAGCTACAAATGTAATAGTTGATCTTACTCGTCGCATATTACTTAACGTATGTAGTTGAACGGATTTTGTATTTGAGTAATAGTGATCAAATGATGCTAGAATAAGCATCAGTTTAGTTTATAATGCAAAAGTAAATTAAAAAAAATTTTTATTCTGCAATCTGTCGAAGTATTTGTTCAATGTATCGAAAAATAGCATAGAAATAATAATGAACACAAAAAAAAGTATAGATGCTAGTGAAGACAGAATAAACAAGAAAATAGTACGTACATAGTGATAGACGAACGTAAAATATATTGAAAATATTTGAAACAATAATAAGTACATAGAATATTCTTTGTATATAAATAGTCATTCTATCAATACGTTCGAAAATGTTGCGCATATTTCAATTTTTTTTCCCTATTAGCTTGACTTACACGATGATGCATAGTTTTTTTCTTTATAAAAATTATTCATAAGTATCATAGCAGTCATACTGATGTGATCTATAGGAATAACTTTGTTAGTATATCAAATAAGAGTAAGATAAAATTTTATAAAATACTAAAATAAAAATCATAAAAGCCGCATTGTAGATTTCATTATGTTTGTCTTCAAAATATTGTGCTTGGAATGAAAGAAAAGAAGAAAAAAATTCGAACTATCAAAGAATTATCGATTTATAAAAATATTTTTTTTTTAAATATAGTTATGTTCAAATCTTACATTTCTTTATAATCATTCTATCCTTATTATTATCATTACAATAATTATTTAAAAATTCTATTTCGAGAATTTTATCAAAATTTTGTTGATCAAAAAAAGTAAATAAATAAAATCTATATATTCGATGTTATAATACCATGTACTATTTTTCTCAATAAGAACATAAAATAGAAAAAGTAGAGGTAAAAAGAATATCTAATATATTTATTTATGCTAAGCTTGTCTTGAAGTCACAACATGACGAGTAATTGTTTATAATCAACTTTTAATTAGAAATGTTTCATATTGTATAATAAACATAAGAGGAAATATATGTTGAATCTTCTCATAGACAATATATATTTTCTCTAGAATTATTTGTTTATATTACAAAAATTCATTCATGTTTGAATATAAATAGAAATGAAAAATTTTGGTTTCGAAAAAAAAAAAAAAACTCGTTAGATTGGCCGATTGTTTGACCTTATAATGATCTATTAATTAATTGTTGTCTATGATAATTTATTTCTTTTATCTGTAAAACTTATTTGCTTAGTAACTATTTGTTTTTCGTGATCGCCTTTCTCTTCTGCTATTCTGTATGAAATTTTTATTGATATTAATACTACGAAATTGCATTTGGAAAGATGATTTTTGTGAAATTTTTTATTTTTCTTGTATTCATCTCCGTATTTATTATATGTACTAATCAATTACAAGGGATTCAGAAGCAGTTAAGATTAGAAAAAAAAAAGATGTACATAAAGATATCATAATAGTATTTGTACTGATAATAAAAATTGTCCTTAATATGGTTGTTTTTTTTTCAGACATCACGCATTTCCGAAACGGATATCATTGGAAAAAAGGCTTTTACACCATTATGATATTATAATTAAATATCTCAGGAATTCAATTAATGATTTGAAGCATCTTTTTTTTTTTTTTTGTTTTTTTATTCATTAGTTGTCAACAAAATGAAGCGACTTCAAGACAATGAATTTGCTTCATATTATAAGGAAAATATAAATTATGACAATATTTATTCATTTTAATTTTGACTATGCTTGATTTTGAATAGATGAATCAATAAAAAACAATAATTTGTTCTTTTTTTTTTTACAGCTAAACAGTATCTTTATATAAACTATTAAAAAGGTTTTGACATCAATTTTTTATTTTATATTTGTTAATTTTGCATCGATAATCATGAAAATGAATTGATTGAATACAAAGTACAATACTGTGACTTATGTAATACGAAAATGTTTTTCTTCTAATGAAAAAAAAAAAAATAAAGAGGAAACTATGAATGAATATTTCTATTTATACATGTTTTCTTTTTATGTATCGAATTGCAATATTAACTCATTCACCTTTGAAAGCCAATAGAAATACAATATCTATTGACTCAAATATTGAATAGATTAATTGAAAAATTTTCTTTTCAAGTTGTCTAAAAAAAAAAAGACCAATTTATTGAATGGATGGAAACTTAACTATCGTTGTAACGAGATCGTAGTCCCTTGACTGCTAAATAATCGATGTGTACGACTATACACAACTATTAGACTACTTATATAATGAAAGAGACATACGTTCTGTGAGTTTTGCTGTCAATAGTAAGCATAATCATATCTCTTTTCATGTAAAACACATGATATTCGATAGTCTACAAGTTGTCTATTTCATCCGACACTAAAATTATGTATGCTTTATGTTTTTCTATCATTATCTGTTGTTTTTTTTTTGGATAAAAATGTGCACTAACGAACAATTAATTATTCTGTTTTTCTTAAACATTATGACTTCTTGACCAGCATGTTTCAATCCTTGACATCATAATGTATTAAACTTTTCTAAAAATATTTGAAATTCTCCTAGAATAATCACGTCCGTCTTTTATTTAAAGCATTTTATCAATAGTAATGTTTGATCTAAAATGAGACTATACAAAAGAGTTGTTCGCTCATAAATTGTTTTATTCGATGTCGGACGCATTTAACTATTCAATTGACATTCTTTATAATATAGTTTATACTGCCTTTCTTCTATTAGTTTTGTCGCTCTCAAATGTAATACCAAAGTTATAAAAAAAATTTTCAACAACTAACAAAGAATAAATATTTGTATATGCACTGTAACTAACATAAATCGATTGATCAATTTTAACATGATGATAAAAGCGACGTTGTTCGAGTTGTACACGAGGTTTGCTCTCTTGTCTGTGTATCTTACGATTAAGTATTGAAATAGAAATTCAAGATACTATATCAGTTTAAATTTCGAGCAGACGAAATACTTCTTTGGATATCAGATATATTAATATTGACATATAATAGTTGAAATATACGTGCACTGAGTGTATCATAACTATTACAAAAATATTTCTTAATTCTTTATAAAAATGAAATGTTAAAATCAGTTATAAAGAGAAATACTAAAAATGGGATAGCGTATCACTAAACTAAAGCCATTTTCTAGATCATATCATTTTTACAACGTATGATTTGCTTTTTAAAGGAAGATTGCAGAAAAATAAAAATTTGAGTTGTTTCAATATAAAAACAAAATTAATGCATTTTCTTGGTAAGACATCATGATACAGTCTGATGAAGAATGAAATGTTTCAATTTCTTACTAAAGTTGGAAAGATCAGTATTTTTTATTTTTTTTTTTTATTTTGCTCATCTAATAGAAGAAAAACTGGTGCCTAGAATAGGTCTATCAGTACAAAAAAAAACTTTTACTAACTTGCGACAGGAAATAAAAAGGAAGTTAGAGAAAAAGAGAGAAATTACAAATAGAAATACAAAATAAACGCAACGAAGGAGTAGCTTACAATAGGGCGAACGAATAGGGAAGGAATAGAGGTGCGCTAGATAAGAAAAAAAAATATCTATATATAATGAAGAAAATCTAGCAATACGTTCATGTAAAAAACGCATAGTTAGAATGTTTCGGGATGATCTTTCAATAATTCGATATCATCATATTGGATCTGTGGTATC